GGGATCGCATTGAGTAGGCTAAAAGTGACATGCAGATGTAACAGAATATATGTTTCAGGCAAGACCTTTTCTTTAAAGGAACGTTCACCCAATACAAGGTTCAAGGCCACTGAAATTTCAGAGTTCAGGCTGAGATGTTAGGAGTAGGGAGTTGAAGTAGACTTTAGAAGGAACCGGAAACCCAATCCTAAACAGGAAACAAGGGATGAACCTCCACTCCTGTTCAAAAAGCGGGGAGGAGTATGAACCGTACGAATGTAGAAAATGAAACTTCCAAAATTATGGTAAGCTTTCAAGCCGTTCTATATTGCTTTAAAATAGGAATAGATAATATATAAACTAATATATTACGAGACCTTCTGCTATTTGAGCTTTTAACAACGTGTATCAGAAACCGCTGTTGGAAAACTAAATATACAAACACTAACGATTACGTAATGATTAAGAATTTTTATATATTATGAAGATTCCTAAAATAAATTGACATTTCTATTGGAATCCTCACTTGATCTCTGAACTGTAATATTTCTTTTGATAATTCCTTATTGATATTTATATTATGAGTTGAGGAGTTGTCATTACTATGTTTTTGTCTATTAGAACCAGCGTGTTCACCTTGGTTGTTATAGTAATAATGCTCCAGCCGTTGTACTCTCCGGCCTTCTACAGGTGTCTGTTGTTGTACTCGGTAATCTTTGTGGAATTTTGAACTGAACCCTATTCAATTCTGATTTCCTTGCAATTTCATATCGGTCAATATCCATCCATCTTATTTATCTATATTTCGCTTGTCCGTTTTTTTGTATCAAATCCGAGACTATTTCAGCATCACCAGGGATTGAACTCAGAATAAAGCAGGCATATTTTAACCAACACTTTAATCCACTAGTCTATGGTAACAGTAATATTAGCCGTCTTCTTACAAGGGGACATTTGGCGTCCATTGACCAAGCAGCCATTGATGCTGCTGGTTGAAATTTATAACTTGTTTTCATTAAGACAATTTTTTCGGAAAATAGATTTCTCAAATCCTGTAGCTGTTATTGCTCTTTTTAATATTGATGAGGTTTCTTTCCTAACCTTCTACTGTAGTTGTGTGGAATAACAACATCTTGATCATGCCATTATTGTCTTCAAATTACACGTGCTATCCATTTTAGTTATTTCAGTTGTTGGTAGTCCTCAAGTGATGTGGTTTCTGTTATTTGGTACAGTTCTTTATTTGTGTGCATATGTTTGATTTAGTCGAAGAAACGGGTAATATATTTGAAACTGAATATGACAGGTAAATATTAATTAATATAAAATAATCTCCTAAGCATAGAAAGCGGAATAAGAACTATCTACTCCGTGGACTGAATAAAGGGTTCCGAATTCCAAGAAAGCTACGTAAACAAAATTGAAATGCACAACAGTCGGAACGTTGTGAGTAAAACAACCAAGATGAAGATGCTGATGAAAGCAGCAAAGATTATAATAATTATTATTGATATGACGACAATAAAAAAAAGCAGCAAAACTAAATAAATAAACGAACCTCTGGTTAGAAAAAGAAAGTCTTGACCAGAAATTGTATACGCGATATATTTGTACTTGCCTTCATGATCGCGATTCCCGTATGTAAGGCCACCACATGTACTGCAGTCTCCGTAGAAGTGTGGTGTGGGCACGATAGCCTGCTGGATCACAATCCAATCAGGGCTGGTTTTTAAATTCAGAGTTTTTCCTTGTCCTAGACCTGTTGACATACAAGGCTATAAAACCTAGAATCCAGTCTGTCTTGCTATTTACCCATAGCTGGGGTGGAGAAGAAATGGATTCATGCCTTTTCAAAAGGTATTAGCACGTAAGCGGAATTCGAACTCGTCTCTCCAATCTCTCAGTCCGAGTCGCAATCCATTACTCATTCCAATAATAAAAAAGTGACTAAATAGACATGAAAAGACCTTGAAAGGATTGTTATTGTTCTACGGAATATTTTTGTTGTAAATATTGCTTATACTTTTGATTTTGGATGACATTACACATATGGATGTGTCAAAGTGAAAAAAAAAGAATTTCATAATATTAATAATAATATTAATTTTAATATTAAATTTCATTATTAAATGAAATATTGTCAGTTATTTTTATTTCTTGTATTTTGTTCATCTTTTGGTAACGTTTCATCAATATTATTGAAACTCTCATTCTACTTTGATCCCAAAATAATTATACTAAGTTTGGGGCAAGACCCCAGCACCTTTTCCCTTTGCAAGTCTGTCTTATGCAAGAACTAACCTCCAGTTTGGTCTTCGAAAGGCCACAATTGCGGAAGATCAGGTATAACTATATAATTTTATTCTTTATTTTCCTCAATTTCTAGCACTGATAATTTGGTGATTTGAAAGAAATACAAGTCAATAATTAGTAATCATCTATACGATGACGTTAAGACATTGAAAAGAAGAAAAGAAAAAATTTTTTGTCATTTGTAGCTATTTGGAGCAATGTTGTTTTT